CACTGAGACTCAACCACTGTGGTCATCTTGCTGACAAGCATAACTGTTAATTTAAGTTAACAGCCATCACAAAGTGATGATCAAAAGAACAACCAAGGCATTAGGACAGTGAATCTGTGCATCTGACAGCTGAGTCTGCCTCTGAGCACATCAGTCCTTTGCATTGAAACCTTGTGGACACTCGAAAGAGGAGGCAAAGGTCTCATACCGGGTGTTGCAGAGTCTTCATCCCATCAAAAGAAGAATAAATCATATAAACACATGTGTGTCACTTATTCCATGTTTGCCTTGTTACTTTCATATCACACTTAACCCAAGTCAGTAAAACTGTGGAAGGCAAAACCCCCAGATAAGAGTCACAGGTCAATACAGACTGTCTCTTGCCTGGGCCATCTCAACAGTCCCTGGACTAACTTTTAAAATAAACATAAATCCAGAGTAGACTCATTCCATCAACCCTGGAATCTTCTCTAAAGTCAGCATCAGGATCCTCAGAGCCAGGGAAGGAGAGGGGCCATGGGCACAGCACAGGTCCAGATCTGGGATGAGAGCCTGTGGATCCCTCCTCTGAGTGGATCCTGCAATCTAGGGTTAACTGGGGAAAGATGAGGAAGATGGGGAGAACTCCACAGAGGGACCTGGAAGGAAGCAGGAGCTCAGGAGAGTTTAGTTCTTCTGTCTAGCCGGCAGTGTCCTGAGAGCAGGGCCATTGCTGTGCCTATTGGGACAGAACTTGAAAAACACTTCCTACTGCTGTCATACTTGGACATCAATGAGGACAGAAAAACAGGAAACATTCACAGGAACAAGAATAGGCCCAGTCCTCCATACAAACTAAAAATACAAGAAATAAACACAGAAGACAAAGTAAAGAAGCACAGACTAGACAGCAGCCTTGGTTGCTCATAATCCTGGGGACAGGACAAGGCTTTGCCCAGCCTGTGTCTCTGTGATGACAGACTCTCAGCATGTGCTTCATAGTGATGACGAGAAGAGAGCCCGAAGGAGACAGAGCCCAGGGTGACCTTGTCTCAAATAACAAGAATCTCATCTAGGCACATCCTCAATTACATTCAGCTCCCACAGCCTCATTCTGCCTCACCAGATACACACAGCATAGTGATTCAGATTCTGGAAAGTTCTCCATTTGCCATTTAATTCCTTCACAAACTCTAAGTATTCTCAATCCCTTATATACCTATTAATCAACCCTCAGGTCAAGGATGTTAACAATGAAGTTCACATTCAGATTCTTATTCTCAGTGTGGAAGTGAGGAGCTGCAGCTCAGGGCAGCATGCTGCTGACAGGATTCAGATGTCCCCCAGTGTTTGACTGGACCAGGAAGGTTGGCTGTGGAAGGGAACACAGGCAGTGCAGGGACAGGGTTATTGTGTGCAGGGCAGACTGGGCTCAACAGTTCTTCACATCGAGCCCATACACTCACAGAGTACATCCGACGCTGTTGTGTAAAGAATACTTAGGGCTCAGGACATCACAGGAGAGACCTGAACACAGCTGTTACTCAGTCCACTCCAGGCTGCTGTCTTCATGCTAGAGAATGAGAGTCATGAACCATCACTGTGAAGACAACATTTCAACAACTCACCACTCACAGCAGATTCTGGTAGTTTCACAATGTATTCCAGTTATATCCGCATTGCTCCTCCCCAAGCAGACCCCAGAGAGTCACCTTTATTATCTGGAGAAGACATATCAGAGCTCTCGAGCTGTCCCTACTTAGGGTAAAACATATACAGAGACACAAGGCACAGGCACTGAAACGCCGGGTAAGAGGCTGCAGCCAGGATGGATCGACCCGAGTTGAAAATGGTACAATGTCAGGTGGCCAGGACAAAAAAACAAAACAAAACAAAACAAAACAAAACAAAACAAAAACTTCAAAGAAGAGAGCAAAATAAATAAATAAATAAATAAATAAATTGTGTTTTATTATCATAATAAAAAAATTAAAAAAAATCAAGAGTTAGGGTAGCTTAGTGAAAAAATCATACAGAGATATAAACATAGGAAGGTCTGATCTTTGCCCCCAGACAATTAGAATGGAGGAGCTTTTATGGATTTCCAGCGCTCCCCATCATCTCCAGCTTCACTCCAATGGCCTCAGGGATAATCCTGTTCCTCACACTTACATGGAGCTGGAGCATAGTCTCTTCCTTGTCCACCTGTGAGAAGAAAAGCTCTGAGAGTTCAAGGATGCTCTTGATACTAGGAATTTCCAGAACTGACAGCAGACCCAGTTGGATGCAGCAGCAATGCAGGGTGTGGCAGTGTTTCCCATTAATGAGCAGAGCACACTTCTAAAGGAAGCTGAGATAAAACTCAAACCCTACCTTTTCCTACCCGTGTTTCTCCTCTTCATCACAAAAGCCACCACAGCTCCGATGATGGCCACAGCTCCAAGGACAACCAGAACAGCAATGATCGTCATGTTAGAGTCAGTGGATGGAGGAGGCTCTGGGAAGGACAGGGACAGGAAATGAAGGTGAGGGTCATGAACCCAGCTCTCAACTCTGGCCATCTCAGGGTCCGCAGAAGGCTCCACCTTTCCCTGACCCCAGGTCTCCACCCACACCCTCCTTACCCCATCTCAGAGTGAGGGGGTGGGTCAGTCCCTCATGTTGCACATGGCATGTGTAATTCTGCTCCTTCCCTGAAGGCACCACCACAGATGCCCACTTCTGGAAGGTTCCATCCCCTGAAGGTCTGCTCCCCACAAGCTCCATGTCCTGTGTCAGGTCCTCCCCATTCAACTGCCAGGTCAGAGTGATGTCAGCAGGGTAGAAGCCCATAGCCCAGCACCTCAGGGTGACTTCATCTTCAGATCTGGGAAGATGGGTCACATGTGCCTTTGGAGGATCTGTGTGGAAGATTCAAGAAATCCCACAATTAACAAGACAAACTGAAATCTACACAAGACTCAGTTAAATCAATGATGACCTTCAACATTGTGTCTGTTTGAACACTTCAACTGTCATGGCACTCGTCATCTGTAGTTAGAGTTGGTCCCCTCTGCACAGAACTGCACATTTTCCTGGGGGACTTAGAAGGTAAGAGGGAATCCACATGAGCCACTAGGTCAACATGGTCTTTCTTGTGTAGCGTTTTATAGCAAGGGACAGGTAGTCAAACATGAAAGATGGAATGGAAAATATATAATTTATATATGTGTTTGAGTTCATATCAAAATCAGAAATTAGGCCCATATGCTCCTGGAAGGGTGCCACCACTGAGAGTCAACCTCTGTGGTCATCTTGCTGACCAACATAACTGTCAGTCCAAGTGAACAGCCATCAGGAAGTGTGTAGCAGAAATGTGGTGAATCTCTGACACTCAGACAGAGAAAATGACTCCTAGCTCCTGCTTCTAAGGTGACAAGGTACAGGTATGTTACACAGGATTCCTGGAATGTGCTGTGGACCCCAGTGCAGCACTCATTGGGACACAGCAGGCTCAGAAGGTGTGTGGATCTTCTCTCCCACTCCAGCCCCAGATTGAAGAAGACCCTGTCTCTCAGAAAGTGCAATTCCTGATTCACTAGGGGGAACACTGTAACTTGTCGGGGCAGAAGAGCAGGAGGCTTCTGGATGTTTAGTTCTGACAGGAAATAGTCTAAGTTTACAAGAATCTCTCCTTTAGAGGGAACCCTGAACTAACTTGTCTAATTATTCTGTCTGTGGAAACTGATACAAATGATAATACAAGGGCTTGGGGAGAAACAGGATCACTCCAGTGCAGACAAAAACTCACCAGATGCAAAATAATGCCTTCAAAAAAGAAAAAAGTAAAGAAAAAGAAATAGGAAAAAGAAAAGAGAAAAAAAGGAAAAAGAAACGCCACAGTTTATATTCCTCCAGGGTACCCCATAAGGGCTCCTGTGAACCTTCACCGCTGTAGGAATAGAGGGAACTGGATTGTCAAAGGAATGCAAACCCCACAGACAAGGGATGGGAATCTGCGAGAATGTATTCTTTGGAAAGGTCTACAAACTCAAGGGAACCAGCCTAGTGAAGGGAGTCCATGTCTTCCATCAGGTAAAGGAGACTTCTGGCCCTGAAGTGTAAGGGCTGACACATTCAGCATGACAGGAGTCAGTGTCCACAGACAGTGGGTGTGGGCAGAGAACCCGGCCTGGGAGAGGCCATGGCTGACAACAGCTGCAGACTGAAGGGAGCAGCTATTATTAAGTAAGGAAATTCTCTGCTTCCCTCCTGAGACAGACTGGGAACTGTCCAGGGAGAAGGCTGAGCCCTGGCAGAGTCAGTGCAGTCACTGTGATGAGGATCAGGAGACCCAGGGACACTCTCTCCTATCTGAGACAGGGGCATCCCCCCCACCCCAGCTGAGGGTTTCTTCTTCCCCAGGACTGAGCCGCGGCCCCTGCACCTGTGCGCAGCAGTGTCTCCTTCCCGAGCTCCAGGAGTCTGTGGAGCCACTTCAGGCACTCGCCCTCCAGGTCGACCCTGTATTCCTCTGCAAAATCTGTCTGCTCCAACTCGCTTAGGGTGATCTGCGCCACCACGTCTGCCGCAGTCCACGTTTTCAGGTCTTCGTTCAGTGAGATGTAATCGAGGCCATCGTAGGCGAGCTGCAGGTACCCACGGAGGAGGCTCCCGTCTGACCCCATGTCACAGCCATACATCCCCTGGAGCGTGTGAGAGACTGCAGGATACAGGGGTCAGCCCCGCCCGCCCACCAGCCCCCTCTTGAAATTGGCCCCTTCCATGCTGGAACTCCTCCAAACTGATGGGAAATCGCTTTGAACCTGGGACTTGTGTACGGGGAAGTCTCAGAGCCCAGTGTAGGAACCTGCAGGGATCGTGACCTCCCACCAGGGGTTACTCACTGTCCTCATCATCGTGGTAGAAGCCCACAATGTCCTCCAGGCCGTATCGGAAAATCTGCTCCACATCCTTGGCTCTTTGTGTCTTCCACTCCCAATACTCCGGCCCCTCCTGCTCCATCCACGGCGCACTAGGCTCGACCCTCTGATTCTTCCTGTCGCTGTCGAAGCGCACGAACTGCGTGTCGTCCACGTAGCCAATAGCGGTGAACCGGGGCTCCCCGAGGCCAGGCCGGGACACAGTGGTTAAGAAATACTGTAGCGAGTGTGATCCTGGGGACGGTGCACAGTGAGACCCCGACCTCTTCCTGGGACCTCAGGCGGGTGTGCGGGCCAGGAGAGGAGCAGGGCGCGGGGCTTGGGATGCGAGTGGAGAAGGGTTAGAGGGTGTGGGTGACCCGGGTATGCCGCTTCCCTGGTGCTGCCCCGGCTCATCCCTGCAGAGGCTGTTTCCCACCTTCCCTGTACTCACCAGCTCGGGTCTGAGTCAGGACCAGTGCAGCAGCCAGCAGCAGGAGCAGCATGTGAGGTGCCATCCCCCCGATCTGGGATCCAGGGCATCTGAGTCCCACAGGCTACGTAGAATTTTTAACTAGTCCCCTCAGAGATGCTGGTTGGGTCCCCAGGATCACTCCACCCAATGATAGTGAGTCATGCTAGGGCATCATCAGTGTCAGGGCAGAAGGACCTGACACAGTAAAAGCAGAAGTGAAACTAGGGAGATAGGGAATCCCCAGCCCTAGGGTTCTTGACCCCTGACGACTAAGACTTTACCTGAACCCTAGGCAGTGTACAGAGTGCTGTTTGTCATGCCGTCTCCGAGTTCTGACCCAGAAGCCATCTGGACACCAGCAGAGACCTTCATGCCAAACTCTCTGTGTCCTGTCCTCCACTCTTCCTGTTCCTTCTTCTTTTCAGAAGTCAGACCCTGGAGTATTCTAGAAGAAAAGCCAGTTCCAGGAATACAGTGGTGGCACAAGCATTTGGGGATGCAGTGGAGAGATGCTTCTCCTTAAAGCAGAGGAGCTGGACTGGGAGTCCCACACTGACCCCACAGAGACCAGTCTCTGTGTTCAACTGCAGAGGGCAGCTCACACAGTCAAACCTGAGTGCAGGCCTCTCATCTGTAAAGAGGAGACTTTGCCTCTTTCTTCAGGATCTGTCTTCTCAGCCCTGTGCTTAGACACAGATTCCTTGTGTTACTTCCTAGATGAACATCTATGGCTCCAGATCAGTATTTTTTTTCCCACAAGGATCTTCATTCTGAATCCTGGGTTTGTCCATGTGGACTTGAGTCATTGTCTCAGCACAGTAGACACCCTTGTCTACAGGAGAGAGAACCCTATGTAGAACACAGACAGCAGGACACTGATCCCTGTCTACACTGCACTTGCCCTGTGTCTGCACCTCTATGTTACAGTTACTTTAGTGACTGAATCACCGTAGGAGAGGAACTGTCACCCAGAATAATGATGATAGTGTGGTAGAAGTTATGTAATCTCTGACCCTCTCACTCCCTCTCTGACCTTCACTCTCATTTATGAGTTGATGAGGTGAGGGACATGAATGTCACAGGTGTGTGCGACACTGGATATGATAAAACTGAGTTGGCCCCAGAGTTCCTCAGGCCAGTGCAGCATGGACACTGGAAGAAAGATGATTCTCATGCCAGAGAGTACACACTGGCGATGTGAGGTTTCATCCGGGATCAGAAGTATGGAGAAAGACTAAATTCATACATTTTTTTTATTCTGTAGTGTTCCACCTGATTTCTTCCCCATTTTCCTGAGAACTTGATGCTCTTAGGTTTCATCCTGACTAACAAAAGGATGTGGCTGGCCTTAGGCAGCTCCACAGAAAGCATCTGTCTCTGTTATCTTTTCTTCTTATTTTATTCTATTTCTATTTTTTTATTTTGTATCTCCACAGCTCTGGCTGTCTTGGAACTTACCATGTAGACCAGGCTGGCCTTTAACTCACAGAGGTCCACCTGTTTTTGCATCGTGACTGCTGGGATTAAAGACCTGTGTCATCACACCTGGCTTTACTGACATTTCTATAACTATGATAAGACACTGTGACCCCAGCAACTTATATGTGTTTAATCTGTTCTCTAGTCTCAGAGTGTTTGAGTCCATGATGGCAGAGAAAAGGTTTGGTGGAGGAACAGTGGAAGCTCACACCTCTATCTGCACACCAAGGGAGAGAAACTGGGAACAGCTGGAGTTTACACACACACACACACCATCTCAACCTTCCCAACAGGGATTTGTTAGCCTGCTCTCATGAGGTCACAGCTCAGTAGGGGCAGCCAGATCCCAGCACTCACACTGGACCTTGTTCTCTTCTCAGAACAGTGTCCTGAGACACAGGCCTTGGTCACATGTTGTCTTGTTCCCTCTGCAGTAGAGAGTTGTAGTCGTAGAGCACAGTGTTCAAGGCATCCATGCAGAAGACCATGCACATGGTGATGCATTTCTGCTCCAAGTTATCCAAGGCTTCCAGGTGTACTTCCTGAAGCTCCTGTCAGTCATTTTCTTCGGCAGCTCCTGGGTACTATGGCGATCTGCACTTTCTATAAAGACCTCGGGTCCAGCTTCCCACAACCTGTGCCATTAAAGGCCACCCAAGCCACTGCCATGGCTGCAAATTCAACTGCTCACATCCTACTACAGGTGCCTGAAGCCTGGAAGATTTTAAAACCTCAATGCTCAGCCTCAGTGACACTTCTCCAACCATTTCACACATCCCAATCCTTTCCTAAGAGTTCCATCTGCAAGATTTGAAGTATTCATTCCTATGAGCCTCTGTGGCTGTTCTTATTCCAACCAGCACAGCATTCACTGTGAAATGTAAGATGTCAGCAGGGTTCTGGAGATGTGTCCAGTACAGTCTGACAGAAATACCCTCAAATGGGGCACTCTGCTGAGTTAGCATCTCCCCCTTTGCCTCTGTCTCCTTCTGTTTATCCCCTATCTGTCTCTATCCCTCAGACCTCACCCCATCAGTGCCCAGCACCCTTCACTCCTGAGCTCTGCACTGACCCTGTCTCTTCCTGTCCCTCTAATTTCTCTCACAGTTCTCAGGCAGCAGGCTGTGAATCAGCTGTGTGGTTTCCTTATGTAAACATTCCAATAGTGGCTGGAGAGATGGCTCAGAGGCTAAGAGCACTTGTTGTTGTTGCAGAGGATCCAGGTTGAGTTCCATCAGCACATGGGGGCTGTCAACCATCTATAACTTCAGTTCTAAGGGGTCCAATGCTAGTGCATCTACATACTTATTTACAAAAAAACAAATGCATCCAATGAAAATAAAATAAAACAATACAGTTTTGTAAATGTTCCAACAGTTCCCTCTCTTTCTTCTCCCAATCGAGAGTATGAGGCCAGGGGCTGAGGAAACAGGGCTGATAAGACAACATGTTACCACCAGTTAATGAAGCCAACACTGGAGCAGGACAGGAACAGATGACTGAAAAAGACTGCACTGAAATAACAATTTGAAAAACAGCATAAAATTAAAACTACAGAAGATAGTCCATTTTATAGACCTACTGTGTATAGTGGATCACAGCGTCTCCCCAGGAAGAAGACACTGTGTGTACTCATCTTTGTACAAAGTGTGTAGCAGAAATGTGGTGAACATCTGACACTCAGCCAGAGAAAATGACTCCCAGCCCCTGCCTCTGAGGTGACAAGATACAGGTGTGTTACACGAGATCTCTAGAATGTGCTGTGGACCCCACATTCCACACTCACTGGAACACAGTGGGCTCACAGGGTGTGTGGAACCTCCCTCTCACTCCAGCTCTGGATTGCAGAAAACCCTGTCTCTCAATTCCTGGTTCCAGTTCCTGATTCACCAGGGGACGTACTGTTACTTGTTGGACAGAGGAAGTGCAGAAGACTTCTGGATGTTTAGTTCTGACAGGAAACAGTTTAAAATCACAAGAATCTCTCCTTTAAGAAGAACCTTAATTTAACTTGTCTAATTACTCAGGTTAGCAGTCTCTCCTGGGACCTGTGGAGGCTGATACAAATGATAATACAAGGGCATGGAGAAGCAGGATCACTCCTGTGCAGATAAAAACTGACTAGAACCAAAATAATACCTTCAAAAAAAGAAGAGAAATAAGAAAAGAAATAAATAAAAGAAAAGAGAGAGAAAAAATAAAATGAAATTCCACAGTTTGTATTCCTCTAGGTACCCCATAAGGGCTCCTGTGACCATTCACCACTGTAGGAATAGATAGAATTGGGCTATCGAATGCATGCAAACACGAGAGACAGGGAGGGATCTGCAAGAATGTATTCTTTAGAAAGTTCTAGAAAAAGGGGAACCAGCCTAATATAGGGAGTCCATGTCTCCTATCAGCTAAAGAACACTTCCAGTCCTGAGGTGTAAATGCTGACACATTCAGCAAGGCAGGAATCAGTGTCTACAGACAGTGAATGTAGCTTGAGAGAGATCATGGTTCACAGGAGGGAGAAGCTGCTGTTATTATGTCAGGAAATTCTCTCCTTCCCTCCTGAGACAGACTGCGAACTGTCCAGGGAGAATGCAGAGCCCTGGGAGAGTCAGTACAGTCACTGTGATGAGGATCAGGAGACCCAGGCACACTCTTTCTTCTCTGAGACAGGGGCATCACCCCAGCTGAGGGTTTCTTCTTCCCCAGGACTGAACTCCAGCCCAAGGGCAGAGGGAAGACCAGCCCATGGCTCCTGCACCTGTGCACAGCAGTGTCTCCTTCAAGCTCCAGATATCTGCAGAGCAAATCCATGCCCATGCCTTCCATGTAGACCCTGATTCTCTCTGCATCACCAGCCTGCTCTCACTTTTGTTGGGTGATCTCTGACATTATATCTGCTGTGGTACACGTTTTTATGGATTCTGTTTGCATGGGGCTGAGGGAGAAGTGTTGAGGTGGGCACCAGCTGCTGGGCTTCTGGGAAAGTGCTGAGGCCAGAGCTACCCACTCGGTTTCTAGGGAAGTGCTGAGTCTGGTGCCAGCTGCTCAGCTCCTTCATTCCACCCTCTGCTAATAACTATGGAGGCCAATCTTGGTCTCACTGACAGTCTAAATCATCTTCATTAGCTGGCTGGTACTGAGACCTCATACCCATCAGTTGAATGGTTCCTAGCCTCTGTTTCTTTTTTTTATATATATATATAATTTTTTAAAATTGTAATTCATTCACACAGGGGTATAAACACAGAAAGGCAGGATGTGGTGAAGGGAATGACACTGGAGTGCGGGTGTTCAGGAGGAATATAGATATCTTTCACAACTGGGTATCGGCTGGGTGGAGGTTCAGGGGACAGGTCGCTATGGCTCTGCCTATGATTCACTTGTCCTTATCTAAGTTGGTATTGTCTGCCAAGGCTTCCTATTTACAAGGTCTATGACTACTCAGGCTGGTAAATTTCCACAAAAGCTGCCTGTTTACAATAGCTTATAGCCATCTGTTTCAATGTTTTTCCACTGAGACCCAAGACTTGGTGTTAGTATACATGTATGACAGGCCTATTGCTGATTTTAGGCCTATGGCTGATTTTAGGCCTTCA